GCGGTAGCCGCGTGTGATTATGCGTGCGGGACGCGTGACTCGGGTGCGAAATCGGCCACGAGATGTACGTGACCGCTTGGATTGGTCCAAGAAAGCTTACCGACTGCCATGCTGACCTCTTGCCGCGAGAAAACCCTTCCCCGCTCTTGATCCTCTGTAACAGTGAAAATTATGCTGTTGAATTCGAGAAATATATTCGTGGAGGAATTAACGAGATGATTTGAGGAGGAATTTAAGAAGAATTCAAGGCTCTTGATTTGAGGAAGAAATTAGCGAGGAAAAAGATTTGGAATGTAAGAATGAGAAGGTAGTGGTCAAAGGTATGATAGAAACATTAAAAAGTAACTAATTAATAATTAAAAATTTGGAATAAAGTTATTTTAAATAATTGCTTGATAAAATGCTCGAATAACGTTTATTATATAATAACGTAGCTATTATAATTGATCTGCTTTTATAAATTCGATCGTTTCTTAGTTATTTATTATTATTATTACGTTTTGAACGATGAATTATTATTAGAAATAACTTTATTCGTAACTTCGATTAATTGAATTTTCCCTATCAATGATAATAACTCTAAGATTTAGAGAATGCTCCGTGATAGAGTTGCGCGTTTGAATTGTTTAAATTAAGAAAAATTGAGGAAGATCAGAGAAAAGAAAAATTTGAAATTTGTGATTTTAAAATATTGTAGGAATTTAAAAGGGTTAGAAAGTAAGAGAGCGTTCAATGAATCGTTTAAATTGAGAAAAATTGAGGAAGATTAGCGAGGGAAAAAAATTGAAGGGTGATTTAAAATATCATAGAACATGCAAAGGAGCGTTCAATGATACGATATTTATAGTAAATAGTGTCCAAAACTTTCTAGCCGAATTTCTAAAAGATACTTAAAAATCGATTTCTCTTTCTTCCATGTTCTTAATCTCGATCGAATAACACAATTTCGTAAATAAATCTATATTTCGTTTTGTATTAAACAACGCTTCCTCAAAAAACAAAAAAAAAAAGAAAAATTTAACGATTTAAATTGGAAGAAAAACACGTTCTAATTTACCAGTTTTTAACAATGACACAAAATGGTATAAACAAGAAGAAAATGAAAAAATAAAAATTTTCGCGAGAAACAGTAGAGAAAGCTAGCCGAGTATTTTTCGTTTTATTTTTCGGATGTTTCGATTGAGAAATCGCGTGTAACGTTGTCGCGAAGCATGTGATTTCATTCATCGCTGAAAATAAGGGGGGAATATTATATTTAGCGTGTATGTGGGGAGGCGAGAATCTCGTGCGACAACATTACCACGACAAATTTATGGTGGTATGAACAGGATGAAATAGGGGAGAAAATAGAAATCAAATCGTCCCATTCATATTTTATTCGAATATCGACGTATTGGTCAACGATATTGATTTATAACACGTATATAAACGAGAATTCTAGAAAAGTAACGTGGATGTAATATTGTTGTCAACAAATTTACACGTAATCTTCGTTAAACAGATTAATCAATAACATTATCTTCTCTAAGGATTTTTGCGAATGTAATATCATATAATCGATTTTTCAAATTTCATATTTATGATATAATTTTTTCAAAAATTTAATTTCTTTTTCTTTCGAGCGTAAAGGCAGAAATTTTTTATTTTTTTTCTATTTTATCCTACTTGTAAGCTCGTTTTATAACTTTCGTAGAGGTTATTATCTTTGTTCCATAGCTGGCAACATTAGCCCAAGATGTTACAAAGTATAATTATAGTCGGTCATGCAACGATGGTGTTATTAAATTCTCGGAGAATTGCGCTTCCATTCACTTCCAATTTGCATTCACGTTGCGATGTATTCCGATCGATCGTTACAGCAAAAAAATTTAGGATTAATTTCCACGATTATCGTCCCAATATATATATATATAAATATATATGTTTCAATCTTCGACGATTCTGACTCTGAGAAAAAAAACGATCGTTTAATCGCCTTTTAATTCGCTTCTCCATTCGATAAATAAATCGAACGACCTGAACATCAAACGATAACAACGAACGAACGTGTAATTGATTAACGTGGAAATACCGTGGATAGTCACGGTTTCGATACCGTGTACACGCGAATCGTATTTTCTTCGAGTTCGAGTCACAGGCAATTTTATGTTGGTAACACGAAATATAGGTCTCGACTTATCGAAGTGAATTTCGCTATTCCGTTACTTGCCACTTCCATCGACTTTGCTCGTCTAATATAGCGAAGGATAATTACCAATCTCATCGAAGGTTAATGGAAGGTTTATTATTAAATTCGATCGAGTCGACTTGCATTACGGGCATTTCAAGGGACCGAGAGCGTTGAAATAACGTTAAATCACTTTTGTTTCCGTTATATACAATGTATCTCGTTGCACACTTTTTCGCTCGATAATCACCAAACTTCTCTACCGACGGAAAGCGTTGAAATAACGTTAAATCACTTTTGTTTCCTTTATATACAATGTATCTCGTTGCACACGTTTTCGTTTGATATTTCATTTATTTACGTATGATTTCAAATTAAAAACTTCAAATTCTCCTAAAATCACCAAATTTCTCCACTAGATATTTCTATTATTCGTATCAATTACATTTCATTCTTTCGTTCTCCGCGAAAATTTACCAATTCTCGTGCGTCTTAATTCGAAGAAAGGATTCAACGAAAATTCGTTTTTTCACGGAAAAAAAAACAGTCGCTCGAGAAATTGCCGGTGATCGAAGGAACGTTGTTCTAGTGGCAGGGCAGACCTCGCATGGCGGACTATTTTCGTACGGGTTCCGCGGAGGAGGGAGAGAGAGAGAAAGAGAGAGAAAGAAAGAGAGAGAAGGAAACGTGGAACGTAGCAGAGAGAGGAGAAAGAAGCAGATGGAGAGGTTATCGTTCCCATGAAAGCGCGCACTGATTTACTCCCTTGTCCAAACGGATCAGCTGATGGGACGAATCATCATCGTGGCATAAATTACCTTGCATTCGTTGCGATGTCGCGAGCCAAAAAACGTGCACGTTCTCGTCGTCGTTTCCACTTACGTTTTCATCGTGGAAATGTAGAACAGGACGCGTCAACTTCTTCCATGGAAATTCTTCTTTTCACCGATTTCAATATCGTCGTTCGAGCTTTCGTTCGAGTTTTCGTTCGAGCGGAATAATCGTTATTTCTTCTTTCTATTGACCGTTCTCTCGTCATCTACTCAACTCTCATTGTCTCGTCACGTTTGCTTGGATTGCCGCCATTTTTCTCGATATACCATACGAGTGCTACGTATACTCGTAGTAGTTGCTTCGTTACTTTTCCATTGTCCTCGCTAACTGTGTAACTAGTGGTTTCGTTTAACTCGTAACGTGTAGACTGTTCGTGTCGTTATACCGGGTGTCTCAAAGGGAAATTAGTATTTTTTTATCGAGTCTGAAAATTCTTCGGAGAATAATTCGAATATTTATTGATTAATTAATTAATTGTTGATGAGTAACACGAACGATTGCAATGATTCATAACGATTACATAATAATTTTTGAAGTTCGTGAAATCAATTTTATAAATGTTTTTTCATCTTTTGTTAGCAATATATTAAGACTAAGACAGTAAAATGATTCTGGCTCGGAATTCAAAGATTTAAGAATAAGATTGTGAATAAATCAAAGATTTCATTCGATTCACGAGTTCGAAAATCCATCAATCGTAACCCGCGAAATTTAAATTTAGAATCTGAGAATCTTGAAATTCGCGAATAAATTCTGAATATCAGAATTTTTAGCTATGAATTCTTAAATTTTACATCCTATGAATTTTAGTACGTCCACAAATCTCAGGATCCATCTCAATCGTATAGCCCGCGAAATTTAAATTTAGAATCGTAGAATTCGTAAAAAAATATTCATAAATTTTAAATTTCTTGATCTATGTTCCTGCATGAATCCATAAATCCTCGAATATGTAGAATCCAAGAGAGAATCCAAGAGCCCGTGAATCCTAAAGCTTTAAAATTCACGAGTGCATGACTTGAGAATTGCAGAACAGCGGAGTGAAAAAGAAGACCGTGAATCGCCACTTTCGATATTGTAAAAAAGCAAAGCATCCTTGATTTACGCGTTGTTATAGTTTTACGTGTATTTCATGTTAATTAACAGCGCGTTACAACGCGAACGAACGAGCGTAAAACTTAATGCGCCAAAGTTAATATACCCGGCCTCCCCTCTTAAAACAGAGAGGCACGTGCATCCTCGTGCTCACGCTACCCTTTTTTCACAGCTGGCAGGTGCGTCTACCGCTAGTAGAGAAAGAAATTAAATGCGACTCGCTCGGTGAACTTCTTTTTTTTTTCATCTCGAGATAAAAATAGCATACCCGCGTTTCTGGTATTTCAAAACTCAACAACTTTCTTCCCTCCCAACTGGTCCAACACAGTTTCGAAATATATAAATGTACTCGTGGAACGTTTCGTTTTCGCTATGGAATTTCATCTAGTGCAGTTTTCGAATGTTTTTCGAAATAAAAATAGAAAATTACGTTATCCTAAATTTCTCTGTTTTTCGATATCGAGAAACAAAAAAGATTTTATAAATGGTTTGAATACGTAATCGTAAATAATTTTAAAAAACGAATAAACGAATATTTAAAATAAGTAAAATATTTTAAATATTTTAAATATTTAAATATTATATTTTAAATAATAAGTATTTTAAAATAATTTAATCGTTTGAGATTTTTAATCCAGTTACTTTTTTAACTCTGTTGGACACCCCGTATTTGAAAAATAGCCCGTCGTCATCGCGATCCCCGTTCTTGCGCAAGAAAAGACTTACTTCAAATCGAATGATTTGTACGTGACACGCATTTTAACACGCATGCCCATTGCGCAACGCGGCCGTGTTATGGCACCGCCTCTGATCACATGCAACGCTCGATTCCTTCGTCACCCAAGTGTTTATCCTTCCATGCGTGTGCTCCTCGTTATGGATCAAGGCCGTCCTGCCATTGAATTCGGTGCAACCGATACACTTCCTCCATATACTTTCTCCCAAACCGATACTCGAATTGACAAAGGCGAGCACGAGGCCAGAAACGTTAATGTTAAATTACCTACGCTATAAAATGTTTCGCACGAGGAAATAAAGAATGATCGCTCGATGGACACGTGTTCACAAATTTTCCCTCTCGTCGACAAATATTGACACGTGTTCTCTTTTATTATACATAGCTCGCGATCCAAAAACAAACGTCTAATTAAAACATTCGATTCGTTCGAGCCAATAGAAATATATCCGAAATTAATTTTATCCCTATTATCGATCTATTTGATACAAATCATTACTACGCTATTATTAGCATTGCTAATCGATTATTTGCGTAACGCTACCGCGTGAATTTGCTAAATTTAAAGCGTAATATTTATCCCTATGTAAAAATGTATTTTAAAGATAATTGTAAACGATCCGCTTTTTTCTTAATAATTACGTTTAATGAAGAGGGGAAAAACAATGTAAAATAAATTCGAAAATAAAGAGAGAACATAAACAAAAGAACGAATTCCATGGGAAAAATAAAATTTACATCGAGGTCGAATCGAATAATACGAAAATGAAAACGAATTCGCGTGTAACGTTCGAGCGTCGTGTCTGGTTAAGTTCGGCTGTCAGGTTCGATCTATTAATATACACCGCGAGCGGCCTGCCTAATTCCTAATGGAATATTCGTACGGATTTCTCGACGCCTTAAAAGTATTCGTCGTTGGATCAAATGTAAAATATATATCGTTGCTCGTTGAAACGTGGAAAGAAAAACATATTCGAAAGTCGAAATAGAGAGAGAAAGAGAGAAAGAGAAGAAAAAAGTTAAGGAATAATATTATTTGGTTCCGAGAACGCGTCGAAGGGAAGAATGCGAATAAAGTGAGGTTAAACGCGCGGAGGTTTAGATTCATGGAAAGCGACATGGTCGTTCGATCAGCTGATCGTCCACGTGCTCGCAGTCCACGAGAACAATATTTGCGTGGAATAGGATTTTTCAAGGAGAGATAAAATATTCTTTCAAAGTGGCGGTGGAAAAGCATCATTTAATTTTTATTACGTGAATTTTTGAGGAATTATGAGGAACCAATAAGAAATATATTTTACGAGAATACAAAAAAAAAAAAAGAAACTTACCTATTTTTAGATTCTACTCGATAATCGATCGATATTCCTTCTTAAAACGTCCATTCTTTCCTCGTCTTAGTATACAAATCGTTGAAATATTTTCCAAGATCTTCTTGGATGATTCAAGTAATTTCTCGATTTTGATTTTACTCGAGAATAGGACACGTGTTGGTTTGATCGATTGAATCTTCGAAGAAAAGAAAGGTACAGGCTACGAGATGGGAATGTAACGAAAGGAAGGCATGAAAGATGGCATTATTCCTTCGTTAACAAGACTCTTCGAACGTTCGTTTCGATAACTTCCTTTTTATTTCGACCTCGGTTGATTCATCGCATCAAAGTACACTCGAGCGACGCGCGTTCCTTAGACAACGTTAAATGATGCTCCTGTTAGTTTTTTCCTTCGAGTTCCACTTCGATACACTTCTCGAAAAGTGGCTACGACCAATTACCAACGAGAGTATTTCTTCGAGCCTTTTTTTCTTCTTCTTCCACTTAATATTTAATATATTTAATACTTCTTTGGCAGTTTCTTCTATCAACTTTAATATTCAATTTTATTTCCCTCCCCCTCCTATTTTCTGATTCTTCCCTCGTCTCAACTTCCCAAAATGGCTCCCAAATTCTTTCGCGGAGACCTTCGAACCACTATCTTTAGACGGATCGACCTCCAAACTCTTATTCGAACGATTCCTAAACCGAATCACACTAGGATCCTCGTCTTCGACGACGAGGATGCCATTCGCAGAATTTTAAGAAGAGAGGAATCTCGACTCGTGATTCGCGCCAGAAACTCGTCAACGTACATTTTGAACGATCGATTCTCGGTTAACGTTCGATTCAACTTGCACGTCCAGTTTTCACCTTCAATTGCGTAAGATTGAACGTGTCGGACGAAAATAGAAAATCTTCGAAAATAGTATACTTCCACCAGAAATAGAATTTATCCCACTACCAGAAGGAAATTTTATTTCACCGAGAATTCGTTCGCTTCAACCTTCTTAAATCTTCGAAGAAAAGCGCACGAGGTATTCTTAACCTTTATCTTCAAACTTAACCTGAAATATTATATCACGAAAATTTCAATTTTTATTTCTCTTCTTCCTTAAAGTTTCAAAGTTTCTTCCTCAAAAACGTGTCACTTCGAGAAGAACAATCACCGTTCGTTTAATCGTTCAATCTTTCTCGTTTCCACCAATCGATATCCTTGCTCGAAAGAGAGAACAACGTTTTCGAAGGAGGCGTTTCGACCATCGTAAGAAATTCAATTCATTATCATTTGCTACGTTTCTCTTGCACGATCTTGTAGAATAGAAACGACGAGAAAGATTCTTTCTCTCGTAAGAGAAGAGGGAATCGAAGGAAAGGACGAGGGGGGAAAAAAACGAGTGTTCTAGAACTTTTTCCAAGCGGTGTTGCGCGGGGTTGCAGACGTAAGGAGGGCCGCACGCAGTCACGGCACAACACTTCACGGAATACTGACAAGTCAGGGCAGAAGAGTAGCCCGCTACGATGCCATGTGACCGTCATTCGTGCTCTCCTTCTCTTCTCTTCACTGCCACCACCCACGCATCTGGCAGTGGCCAGAAGAAACGCCCATGTGCGACCGACCAAGCGACGTTATTTCGAGATAAACAAGGAGGGAAAACTGTAAGGAGAAGTAAGAAATCGACAAGTGCACACGTTTTCACCTAGGTGCCTGTGTACATCTGTGTACACAGTGTGCGTGCGTGGACAGTGTAAAAGGGAAACTGAGGGTATATTCCTCGAAAGGCGAGAGGGAACGTGCACCTCGACTAAATATATAATTGCTCCCATGGATCTCGCGTTTTCGTATGGAGAATTAGGTGTCAACGAAAAGGAAAAATTTCCGTTTTATGCGAGATATTTAATGGAAAAGTAAATAAATAAAACTAGTTTTTTTTTGTGGAAAAACTGCAAAAATTTTATTTATATTTTCTGACTTCGGTTAACGGAAAACCATTATTTCTTCGATGGTTCTTTAATGATCATTCGGATTGATGTTTAAGCGTCGAAGAAAGAAACCTTATCCTTAAGAACATTTTGTATTTTTAAATTTCTTTTTATCTCTCAATCGTATTCGAATATTTGCACCAATCTCATCTTCGATTATTCCTTCGATCTAATCTAACCTAAATCCAAAATTTCCGTTAAAAATATTAATATTCGTTCTCACATCATTTTTCCATTACCGTGAAAACAAAACACAAAAAAAGAGACGAAACCATGGAATATCTAGAATCAAAAAAAAAAAAAAAAAAAGAAAAATTAAATATCTTCTCTTGAATAATTACCAAATAA